CACCTAAGGTGTGTGAATCGAACGTGGAAAACTGAGAAGTGAACAAGGCTCGAACCCGGTTGCATTGCCAAGACGAAGAGTGAAGTGCATTATTAAGAAAGTCGAACGTCGTTGACAGTTCGTCAAATTTGCAATAAAACTTGTGTCGTTTATATTCATAGCCCCTTGTGGACAGTGTGCCTGTCCTCTGTAGGATTTGCTGAAAGGAAGCGCGCTCCCCCCCTCCGCCCCCGGGGCCTATGTTCGTCAGATTTCGGCCGAATAAATTTCGTCGGAAACCTTACTCCAGAAGTACAGCGGTTTGAGGTGAGCAGTCTTGGGTGGAGCTCTGTGTTCGAGTTCCCAGCATCAAACAGACGGGACTCCTGTACTCGTGGCGGTGCCCCCCGCCCTAGACAGAATGGAATAAATTGGGCAGCAACAAACAGCAGGGCTCCTACAGATGTGTCGGCCTGCAGTAGCCGCGCCCGGTGGTTTCTTTTTTTCCCCTTCTCAGCTAATAAATTTGGTGCCGTCTGAAGCCTAATAGACGGAAAATGGAAATGAGCTCGTCTCTGTTCCGCCTTTAAAAGAATTTAATATGACCAATGCTTCGCGGTATTGATTGAAAACAAAGCCGATGTTGTTAGGCTGCTGTTGAAACACAGCAGATGCTTGCACCGGGGTAAATATGAACACGTGAATGTGGGAAACAGGATTTACGTATAAAACATTTGTAACCCATTCGAGTTCTTTGCATGAAAAGAAACCTGAAGATGGCTTTCTGTTGACTCGAAACACGTACTTTCATCGTATTGTTTGACAGTAAAAAGCTTAATTTATCTGTTTGTGTGGACTGTCACTGCGTAATACTTTTGTAATAACGTGATTTATACGTGCGTTTGTGTCACTCTGATGTATATATAGGACGTTTGTCTTAAAATTACCCCATCATTGCTAAATAGTTTACTGACCACATAATTCATCGCTGGCCGATTATTAACGCAGTAGCTAACTACTTTCTCAGGAGCCTGTTGTCAAGAAACTGTCAGTAGCCACTTCGGTCTTTATGGTTCAGACACGGGCCTGCTGTAGTCGTGCGTCGATGATTTATCTTCTCTGAAAGTTGTCTACATCCCGTGATAACAGTAATAAAATTAACAAATGATTTGCGTCTCGCGGACGAGGCTTTGCCGTGCTGCCATAACAGTTATTGGTTAGGTTGGCAGATCCAAATGCTCAGCGCAGTAAATTAGTCGCTGTCTAGTCACTGTTTAAGCGCCATGATTTTTTTTTTTTAAAAAAAGATGACTGTTGCTTGAGATTTTGATCCTGCACATTTCTACGTTTCCCCGGCTTTTTCGTCCGACATTCGCGACGGCCGGAGGTTTGTGACCTCTCCCGAGGCAGTACAACAAAACTGAATGATCCATTTTTTCCACGCTGGACTGGTTCTTGCACACGCCACGTTAGATTGCTTGTTGGTTCTGGGCTTTGTTTCTTTCTGGATTTCGGTTTTAAAGTCTCGGTGAGGTTGAAGAAGCTGTTAGGTCAAATAAACACGAGGGCCCTCAAGGCACGAAGTGAGAGGAGAGAGTAGTTCGCGCAAGGCAGCTGGGAGCCAGGTTACTCCTGCGACCGAACACGTTTGTTTATTTGGCGGAGACAAAGCGAGCATTTCCGGAAATCATTTGAGCATCCCCCCCCTCCTCCTCCTCGCTGTGCACTGAGCCAGGAGCGTGAAGTGTCCCATTTGGCGGTCCAGCCGGACCGGAGCCGCTGCGCTGAAGTCGCTGTAGCAATAACAACACAACGACTTAACTGCAGTCCCAGAAGGCAGGCAGCTCGCCATAAAACACGAGGAAAAGCCCGCCATGTTCCCCGTATCCCGAGTGTCATTCCAAGTTGATTAACTGTCAACATTACCGAGAGAAGCGCTGTTTGCTTACACAACCGGAGATTTATTTAGGCGTTCGGATACTTAAAATTACTGGGAATTAAAATAAACCATGCATCAGGGACTCAATTTACATGTATACAGAAAGGAGGTGCACTTCTAGCGAAGTCTGTCGCCGATGTGAGTAACGTAAAGAATGTGTCTGCGCTTTGCCGTAGCACGAGACAGTGAATCCGCGTTTGGAATAAGATAACGTTCTTTGTGTCCATGCACCGGATAATTGCTCGCTTCCTGCTCAAAGGCACGTGTCCCAGTCCTTCGTACATTGAGACTATGACCATCCGTAGTCTGTGTAGCATTTACACTAGGACTTGTGTGATTATGGCACGTTTTCGGCTCATTTGTGAAGATGTTTCGAATTCCTTGAGTGGTCAGTTTTTAAACTCCAGACCCGTTGACTTCCAATCTCGGTCGGTAACCATATCATATGAAGGGCGTTTCTTATCGTCTTACATCACTCCTTCCAGGCAAGTGCATCTGTAGTGTTAGCTTAGACGATGACGTATCTGCCGGACTTATATTCAGGCGGTATCCTGTTTGACCCTCGGTTGGTACACAGACTGTCCTCAGTCCCCCTAAGCGAATGCCAGGGCGTTGTCTTCAGTCATTCCCAATTTATAGTATGCAGCTGTCATCTCTGAGTAAGTTGGGAGCCGTCGACAACCATCCACCTCTTCAATTGATACAGGGAGCTCTCGCCCCGGGGGTAAGGCGGCCGAGGAGTGAAGGTAACCACTCGCCTCCATCTTCTGCAGATGTGGAGGAGTACAGTACATACAGAACCAGTCCGCATTGTGCTTAATAAAATACAGGGGCATCTGCCCCCGTAAACCTTTGACATAAACTCTGCAGTGGGAGTACACACAGAGCTCCGTCACGAGACGGGAACCAGCGAACTCTAATTCTGACTGGAGCTCGCTTTTGTAATTTCCAGGGAAGAAGAAGTTCCAGTCGGACCCGTCCTGCTGTCCCGTGTGTGGAGTGACGATGAGGCCTGGTGAACTGGAGACACATTTTGTCCAGGAAGTAGAGAGGCTGTACAAGCTGAGTTCCAGCAGTCGGGTCCGCAGATTGTCCCTGGAGAATTCGCGACCGCCACTGCCATCCGGCCCCACCACCTCCTCGGGCCCCAGGCGGGAGGGCGACGGGACTCCGGAGGGTCGATGGGATGTGAGTACCTCGGACGGCGTTTTAGGACAAGTTGCCGTACTTGGGCAGGCCCGCTCTGCTGAACGTCACAGCTTCCGGTTTCGGCCTAGCGACCGGCTGTCCTGACCGAAGGTTTTGGTGTGTCGTTCACTTCCTCCACGACCACTTCCTTCCACATAAATATTTACAAGGATTGTGTCATGAGGCACTTTGTAGTCTGACTTATCGACAGCGTCATTACATAAACACACAAACAAGTAGATCTGCGTCCCTTTTCCAAGGGCCGCTTCAGCAACTGGGTCATTGTCTCTGAGTTAAGCGAATTCGACGTCTAGATTCGTCGGCATTTGTTTAGGTCATCGGCGATAAAGAGAAAGCCTCTTCCCAGCTGGTGAGATGGGCCTGCCCTGAGCTACGCCCCGGATGCAAATAGCTCGAAGCAAACGCGATTTGTTTCTGTTTCCCGCAGACTTACCAAAGGGTCAAAGCGAACCGGCAGGGACGACTGCGAATCAAGAACAGGAAACGGAAAGCGGACGAAGCGACTTGTCCGGTCTGCAACGAGCGGGTCCAGGGGAGCGCAGAAGAGTTGAATAGCCACGTCGAGATGTGCTTGAGGAAGGTAAGCAAGCCGACCTGACCTGCTGGCAGAATGCAGACGCGACGCGTTCGGCATTGGGCGTGGGTACCAAGCATTGGCTCTGTGTCTGTGTGTTCCAGCACGGGGCGACGGTCGACGAGGACGAGAACGTGGACGTCGAAGGCGACAGCGAAATGTACGAGGAATACGAATGGGCGGGGCAGCGGCGGATTCGAGCCACCACGTTGCTCGTCGGCGGATTCGCAGGTGAGTGTCTGGGTCCCGCGGACAACAAAGCTCTCCGTGCCTTTCCTCAGCATACCCCGCGAGAAATGTAATAAGCCTACCGCTGCTTCGTGCTCAGGCGGTCCCTGGTTCAAATCTCTGATGGGGGACCGCCTATTCGGACTGAGGTTTCTCAGTGTCAGCGTAATATCTTAAATTAGGTCATGACCGCTTCTTTCCAATCCATGATTGATTGACAATCCTGTCATTTGACGTTGTATAGTTGTGTTTCAAAGTGTTTTTGGCGCGTCGAAGTTGGCGTTGGTTATAAGTTGTTGGGCCTCGCCCCTCCGTAATTTTTCTCTTATAATGCGTTTGAAGAAAACCATGACGACGGAATGTCAGGTAATTCCGACTCCACTTTGTTCTTCCGTGTTTCTTAAGCGCGTTCCCAACCTTAAGGAACGCCTGATGAAATATCTTCGTCTCATAATAAGACCTTTATCTCATTCTTTGCACTAGGAAAACGTGAAGTTGTGTTATGGAAGTTATAAACTCGAGGATTTGAATACGATCGCATACTTACATGTAGTTTCTGGTTACGCACGTGAAAATGTTTTCAGCCCTAGGCTTCAGAAGAATAGTGTGCCTCGGGCGTTTTAGAGGAATTAGGAATGTTGTGGGCGCGTAATAAGTGAGAGGCCGCTGTGTTTTCCCCCCACGTGTCTGTTACGTGTTTTAATGGACCAGACACCTGAAGGCGACTTTTTAATTCTGACTCGCAGCTGCGGGAATGTCAACATCGAGCAGTCGTCGGAGTCCGATCGACGAGGAAGCGGACCTCGTGGTGGACGGCGATGATTCTGCGACGTACGGACCGCCACAGTACTCGGAAGCTGACGTCGTAATCACTAGTGCAGATGGGCCAAGAGAAGAGATGGAGAGAGAGGCCCTGCGTGAAGCGATCATAAGGTTAGGTTAGGTTTCGTGTTACTCCTCAAGGCAAATTCCAGTCTTGCTTAAGGACTTACAGCTTTGTGGGCGCATTCACCCGACACACACATCCTGCAGGATTATCTGAAAGGATTCTAGTCAATTGCAGTTCCATTAATTCTCTATTTATGTCCTTAGTAATCTGAAGTTATCTTTTCTGCTTTTCGGCAAGCCCATAACAGAGGGGAGGGGAGGATTTGTTTTATTTCGTATTTAATGCAATGGAAAGATGAGGCGACATGAGCATTCCAAATTCTGAACATTCTCTTTCACTTTTCCGTTGTTTCCCTACGAAGTGTGGCTGGCGATAATGTAATCCTGAATTAGTAATTTATTTATTTATTGGTGTCAGACGAGAGTTAAAACGAAAGCCTTGCGTTCGAAACTGGTCTGGGTCTGCATTTCTTCCTCCTTCAGAGCATAGCAGGAAGATAAACCTGATGTTAGAGCCAGCATTGACCTCTGAAACGTCGATAAACTTCTACTAGGCTACACCCAAGGCGCTGCAACCCAGAAGACATCCGTCATGAGGCTCACCCCATGTTCTTGTGTTCATATTCGAAGCCTCCTCCGGGTGTCGTGCTTCGCCCCGGTTTCTCGTCTTCTTGTAGTTGTTGTTCTTCTTCCCCATTTGTTTTCGTGTTGTGGTTGCAGTCCGGAGGGCGGTAAATCGGCGTCGCAGGGCAAAGGCAGCGGGTCAGAGGTCGAGGTCAAGGAGGAGCCGATGTGCAGTGGCCAGCAGCACGCCGATGTGACGGAGGCGTCGTCGGACGACGCTGGAAACGACTCTCAGACGCGCAACCAAGTGCTGGAAGCGTTGAAGATGAGGATCCGCGAGTTGGAAACGCAAACCCGAGCCATTGGGGACGAGAAGTTCAAGTGTCTGATCTGCATGGTGAGTACCCGCCCTCGTTTGAAGTGTCGTAGGTTGCTAGCCGCGTGCATGCTATTTCAACGTCTCCTACTTATAATTGGCGTAGGCGTGTACGAGAGAGCTCAGATAATTGACTGGCTTTAGTCACTTAATAATTTCTTGTTCGATTGACAGGTGAGGGAGTGAGACATCGGCCAATTATCTTGAGAGCGCAGTAACCACTTTGCTATAAACAATTTTCTTCCTTGTGGAATTAATTAAATATTATTACGGTTTTAACAAGTCTGGTTTCTTATATTATAGAATTAAAAATGTCAGCAGTAAAGAGTGGCCTTTTGCCTTGTCTCCTGGACGGGCTTTGTGCTCGTCGTTTCGTCTTCCGATGTCAAGATGTGCGAGGCAGAGACGCAGGTTCACTGGAAGTGTTCATTTAAAGAATTGCCTAGGGTTACATGTCCCCCGCAGATGGGCCTCGTATGTCGTTCGGCAAACTCTAATAACTGCATGTCACGTGACATCGATTTTCGTTACAGTTTTAACATCAAATGTTTGTAATCCTATAATTTATCACGCGATACGTCGTGGTTTTATAATCGTGAGTGATGCTGTTTGCTCAGGTACACATTTTGAAACAGTTGTTTGATGAGAACTGTACTTTTTATGTAACTATTATATTCACCTCTGAATATAATGGACCATTTGTGTCTCCAGTCCCGTCACGTTGCCTCGTAAATCACAGTTCCCTAATGTAAATGAGCCCCCACCCACCCCCGAAAGAAAGCAAAACAATGGGCCGTGGACGATCATGAACACAAAACATGAGGACCGCCGTAGGCCTTCCGAAGTAATCGGGGATTATGCATTCGAGACATGTTGTTTCGTCGACTTGGAGACATACAGGACGCTAAAGAAAAAGTTGCTTCTCCTTTCCTTTGGTCATCATTTAGGCTTCAGTTCACGTTGTCAGTACGCACACAATGGACGATGTTGCAAAGTGTGAAATAGATTCGTCGCAAAATATTGCCCGCTCCCCATGTAGAAGGTAAATCAGCTGATTTTGTTTTTGTGTGTGCTCTGGCTCCCATTTGGACGTGTGTGTCTGTTGTCGTGTGTGCAGGAGCGCTACAAGAAGCCGGTGATCTCCGTCTGCTGCTGGCATGTCCACTGCGAGGAGTGCTGGTTGCATACGCTGGTATGGTAATTAATGTTTACGCAATTAACTTGCTGTGTCAGATACGAGTAGATCTCACGCCTAAGCTGAGTGACGTTTTGGGTGGCGGCGAGCGACGACGAACTTGTCTAGCGAACATGCGTTTCAGGCTTGAAGGCGATCCGCGCGTTCCTCTCGTTTCGTGAAACGTCCTCGAGGGCCTTGAGGACTGGACGAAAGCAAACTCATTCATCAGATGATTGAGCTGGCTACCGCGTTCTTTTAATCGAGCTCCGGGATGGAAGGCCCTGTCTTCGTCCCTGATACCTGCTGTTTTCCTGTTCTTCATGCCGGCCCTGAAGAGCCCCGTTACCATTTATCGTTGTTGCGTTTTTATCTTGGCCTCTTTCTTAGAATTTTAAAACGTCAGCGTCAGTGCTTGGTCGCTTTGCCATTAAATACCACTCGCATGACGTGGAATTAATCAGAGATAAATTATGCAGTCGCCAACATAACTTTTCGAGTGACAACGAGGTACTGCGTTCTGGACCAAGTTGAGAAAATGTATCATCGAAGCTCAGTCTCATTTGTGTTTGTGATTTCGTTAACGAGAGCC